TGCACAAACGAACCATCGGATCCAAATGTCTAAATTTACCGATGGAAATAAGGTCTTTCCACCAATAAGAAGACGAAGGGGATGAAGTAGTAGAATGAGGAGGAGAAGAGTTAGAGACAAGAGAATGCATACCTTTGCTTAATATGACGGAAGTAATGTCACCATAGCGAGCCTTCAATAAACGAAGCCACACTTCATCTCCACCTTTTAGAATTCTCCACCTCCACTTGTTAAGGAGAGCCACATTGAAATCCGGCAAGTATTTCATACCTAGGCCCCCTTTATCAATTGGGAGACACACCTTCTTCCAACTCACCCAATGAATTTTCCTCCTCTCTTCCACACTTCCCCACAAGAAATCGCCTAAAATCTTATTAACTTCTTTAGACACCGCACTTGGCATTTTGAAAAAAGATAATGTGAAGATATATAAAGAACACAAGACGGATTTGAGAAGAGTTATCCTTCCACCCCAAGAGTCTCTTTTTAATTTTGAACAAAAGAGGATTCCAAGTAGATGCTTTCCTCGGATTGGACCCAATGGGGATTCCAAGGAAATTAACGCTACTATCTTCCTTCCTACAAGATAACACAAAGGAAGCCGCATCCAAGAAATTCGAACTAATATTAACACCAATCAACTTACTCTTGTGGTAATTGATACCTAGACCCGATACAAGTTCAAAGACTCTTAGAACCGCTTTTATCGCCCACACATGCTTCCACGTGCCTTCCCCCACAATTAAGGTGTCATTCGCAAACTGAAGTAAATCCACCATGCACTTACCATTAACAATAAAGCCTTCAAACTCACCAAACTCTTGAGACTTCCTAACAAGACCCGCCAGACCCTCCGCCACAATAACAAAGAGAAAAGGAGATAGGGGATCTCCTTGTCTCAAACCCTTTTCAACCTCAAATTCCTTAGTGGGACTACCATTCACCAAAACAGACATCTTACTTTGAAAAATAAGATTATCCATCCATTTCCTCCACAACAAACCAAAGCCCATCTTCGTTAACATAGATCTAAGGAAATTCCAACTTACATTATCATATGCTTTCTCGAAATCCACCTTGAAAAGAACACACCCTTTTCTTTCCTTCCGAGCATAATCCACCAACTCATTTGCCACCAAAACACCTTCTAGCATTAATCTACCCGACACAAACGCACTTTGACAAGGCGAGATAATACGGTCCAGAACTTTCTTCAATCTACTTGCTAACAATTTGGAAACAATCTTATGCAAGCAACCAACCAAACAAATAGGTCTATAATCATCAAGAGTAACCGGATTAGTAGATTTAGGAATCAAAGATAAAAAAGAAGATGTTACCGCCTTTGAGATACGACCACCCGAATGAAAGTAATTGCAATAACGAAAGAAGTCATCCTTCAAGAAACTCCAACATCTTTTGATGAATAAGAAAGAGTATCCATCCGGACCCAGACTTTTTGAAATGCCACATCCCCAAATAGCCTCCTTAATTTCCTCCTCAAGAAAAGGACCCTCCAAAAAAATCCTATCTTCTTCATTAATGCCGTCAAAAGTAATGCCCTCAAGAAACGATTCCTCACCTTCCATGACCTTAAATTTTCTAGCAAAATGCCTTTGAACCTCAAACTTTACTTCCTCCACTTTCTCAAACTTTATTTCTTTATCTTACTATTTTTATTTGTATCAAATATATTTTTTTCTGCTCATTCATATGATATAATGTATAATGTTTGTTTTAATGTATGTTCAAATGATCTATACTATATAGAATCAAGTTCTTCTGCTACTACAATTACATATCTTGACTGGAACAATGGTTTACTGGTTTCTTCAGCAAGAGAACATCTTCGGCCAGAAAACTTAGCATTACTAGCATGATACCACCGGATTATTCTACTACTACTATTTCACTTTGTGTTTCATTCTATGATTTTCTGGATTCCATTTTACTCTTTTACTTTTCCACTTTTCTTTACTGCATGATGTTAAGAGTTTTAAACATGACACACAAAGAGGCTTATAAATGAGTTATTTCTTTGTTCTTTGGTCTTTCCATAAATATAATTAATGACATATTTGAAATATGTTAACCATTTAATTGTGTGTTAGAATAAGACTTTTTTTATGGTAGCACTTAAATATGTGACACTTTTTACAATTTTGTTATTCTCATTTTTCTGTCAAACCTTGTCCATTAGGTTTTTCAACCAAGTGAGCAGGCTTATTTGCACACCATGATATATCACGTACTATGTTGTTATTACACCTGAATAATTGATTCAACTTTTGGATAAATGAGTTGTTTTGAGCACTGCTGGTAATAGACTTTTCCATTCAACTTTTCCTCTTTTCCTTTTGGTATTTGGACATGTCTTGGTAATAAACATATATAAATTATGAGGGTTGTTTTATTCAAATTTAATTTTGTTTACTATTTGTATTTCTATTATATGAAGTATATGGATCTGCAATGGACTCATGTGCTTCAAAATAGAATATTCCCAACTTTGATATATTTGAGAATATTATACCGTTTGCAATCTCAATTTTAGTGGATACAATGTATGCATTTTTTTTTCATACTAATAGACGGGTCTTTTAGGTAGAAAAGCCATATTAGTTTATACATTTTATTCTCAATGGTCTTTTAGGTTTTAAAGAAACAAATATTTTTATGCATTTTATTACCATCAAGTAATATTTTAAAATTACACAATATAGTAAACATTGTAAAAGTGATAAATGTTTTTGCGGGTGTCTTAATCTACCCTTGGAATTGTGGGAGATTTAATAGTGAGAATAATATTATCTAACATTATTTGTTTTTATTTTTACTTTAATTGTTGGATCAATATTAGATAGAAAATGGTTACATTATTGTGACAAATATTGAATAATCATAGTAGACTATAACATCAACCATGAAGTAGATTTACAATTTCAAATATAGATGAGTTATTTAGCTTAATATTCTTCTGTATATAGTGTAATCATACTGCAGAATCTGCATCATATAATCATAAAGCAGAATCCATATTTCTTTATGTTTAACTTATAATTCTTCTAAGTATCTGATGTCTTATGAAGCAATAGTCCATATGTATTTGTAATGTCTTATTTTATGTCTTTATACATGTACAATAGTTAACATTGAAGTATTTCTATTATAGGTACCACTAACATTGAAGTATTTCTATTATAGGTATCACTGCCACTAAATCACATAAATATTAATTATGGATGACACATCCAATTTTGGATTAGTCAAAAAAGCAAGAGCACCCAGAGCTCTTATTATAAAAGACTTGCGTTCAAAGCGTCAAAGAATTAATCTTCAACAACAAACTCCATTGAATCACCAACTTATGAGTTGTTATTTAATGTAACTATTTTTTTATTTTACAGTGCAAACCATTGACTTTATTTTGACGATTGAGGTTCGAAATCTCAACTCTTAAAACATAATAACAATTGGTTGAAACACATGTTATATTTTCTTTTATTAACTCAGAGGAATTTCTTTATTCCTCTTCTTCTTCATACCTATCTTCCATAAACCTTTTAACGAAACCCTCATCGTTTCCTCACTCATTCGTCTCTTCCGTCGCCTCCCTCAACATCCACCATCTCCTACAAATCAAACTCACCACCCTCAACCTCTGATTCACACTCCGCCATAAAACTCCTTCAACCATTTCAACCTCTCCACCCTCGCCACTTAACCTTCACAACTAACTTGCTCTATTTCCTGCCACCATCACGCAATGAACACACAACCCATAAACCCATTCCTTCTATTTGTCTACAAAGTAGGTTGTTAACTCTAGTTGAACCACCAACCTTCGTCAACCTTCTCTGATTCATCACCTACAATAACCACACGCCGAAACTTCATAGCTGCCGACGATCTACAAAGGTCACACGACTACCATGCTACTCCGCCTCGACTCATAACTTACTCGCAAATCACAACAGCCACGACTCGAATCCACGAACGATAACTATACCACGGTTTTAACGATTTCGCATCAACACCGCACCAACTCTTGAACCGACGTGACACAAGCGAAACAACCTGATTCATAAACATCATGATTCACCAATCGGTCGCATGAATTGTGGCAGTTTCAACGTCGTCGGTTTTTATTTTCGAGTACAACACCACAACTCGTCTAACAATAACCCGTCTCGAATGTTTCATGTCACAATTTGGTAACATTTTGATCCTATGGCTTTAGTCTTCTCTTATAATTTGTTTTGAGTTTTCTTAGTCCAAATCATCTGCTATTGTTGTTGTGCTAAGATTTAAAATTTTGTTGAAAATGGACATATTGGTTCGATATGTTTTGCTATTAAATTGGTTTTTGAGTATGTTCACACTCGGTTCCCATTTTTCTGCTAATAAAATTATTGTGGTGTAGTGAGTACCGTTGTGGATTTATGGATATTTTACTGTAGTATTAATTTTGAACTCTTCATTTTGTTCTAATTTTATCTTAGAGCATCCACACTCATTATTTTCATTTTGGTTTTTTAGATGGGGTCCATGCAATTTTTTATATTATATTTCACTTTAATATTTTCTAAACAACCCAACTACATTTTCCAAATATTCATGCAACCCATCAAAAACTCTAAAATGGATTCCATCAAATCTTATAGTATATCCAACATTTTAATTATATAAATAAATAGTTGAAACAATTTAATTCAAATATATCAAAATACATTAAAAAAATTATATATTTAAAATAATATATATATATATATATATATATATATATATATATATATATATATATATATATATATATATATATATATATATATATATATATATATATATATATATATATATATATATATATATATATATATATATATATATATATATATATATAAAGCACAATACATCACACAAATAATTAATTAAAAAATACATTATTAAAATAAGTTACTAGCACAAAATACAATAAAAATATATATTTAAAATATTTTTCAATTGTTGTCATTCTCATGTCCATAACATTGCCATATATGTTCTATCAAGTCTTGCTGAAGGTGTCGATGAACTTGTTTATCACGAATATCAAATCTTCTACGCAGGAACTCTTGAAAATCAATATTAGAATCATTCGACAATATTGTCGCATCATTACTCAAATGATCATAAGAAAAATCAAAGTATTTCCATAAGCTTTTCTTTCTCCTTCCTTTTGCTGCCTTTTGAACGATTGGACGGCGAGACAAAGTAGGTGATGATGGATCGTGTTTGCTGCTCATTTATTGATTAGAAGATGAAGAATATGCTCCTGAAGTTGAATTTTTTATTCTTTTTGTAGAAGCTTCTGATGAACCTGCGAGCCATTTAAGTTCATCTTTCAATAATCTCCATGCAGTTTCAAAAGTAAACTTTTCACTTTCATCTTGGAAATAGATTTTATATGCAGCTTGCATGATATTACTCTCGGAACTCCCACTTTGTTGTGTAGACACAACTTGTTTGTAGCATCCAACAAACTTTTGAACGGATGGATTGATTTTATGCCACCGACATTTTAGTTGCGTCAGTTTCCTCTCTTTGTAGTTGATGTCACGATGCTTGTTGTAAGCTTCACCGGTCCGCTTCCAAAAACTATCTCCTTTTTTATCAACCCAACAATTGAATCTTTTGAAACGTTGAGCCATGATTGAATCAGAATTCCATCCTCTTTTTGTTGGAACCTTTGTTTATGCGTATTCACAACACGTACGGATGCAACTTCTTCACCAAGGTTAAATGTTTCTAAGCTACCTTGAGTGTAAAATTGTGGTGTTTCATCTTCTTGATCATTTGATTGCGCACCACTACTACCTATTTGAGCCCCATGAGGCATAGTGGGGTTAGTTGATTGAGATGTAAATTATTGATATTGATATGGATAAGGTGGTGGATGATATGAGTAATTTCCAAAGTGTGGATTATTTTGTGGATTTAGGATAAAAGGTGAGTTTTGAAAATTTGGATTATGGTGTGGATTTGAGATAAAAGGTGTATTTCTAAAATATGGATTACTTTGTTGATTTGGAATAGAAGGAGGACTACCACCATTTTGCATAAAATTAGACCAAGGGTTATGTTGATTGAGATCCATTGACAAATAAATGCGTAGAAGAAAAAAATTTAAGATGAGATAAAATCAATAGTTTAAAGTTAGACTAGTTGTAAATGAAAATTGTAGTAAAATTAATAACCTATTTATAAGAATGAAAAATATTACCGTTAGTTTATTAATAAATTAAAATATTGTTCACTTTAATATTGTCATTATTTACTAAAATATAAATAATATAGTCATTAATTTATAGCCGTTACAATTTAATATTGACATGCAATTGAAATATTACCGTTGAATTATTCTATCAAAAAAAATATTACCGTTACATTCTTTAAAAAATATTTTTTTTGTTGGATTGAAAAGTCAATAGTGGTTTTATCATTAATATTAATTTTATTATCAATACTACTTTTATTATTATTGTTCATCATAACACCTGTAAAACATTAGCAAACCAACGTTGGCACACGTAGAACTTTAATATTTTATAAAATATCCATCAACACTGACGTACAATACCGATATTTATGCTCTTAAATACTATTGGGGATTGTTGGCTACCTGTATCCGCTGCAGTATGTTTGTCAATTTGTGCAGCAGTATCATGCGTACATGTTACGTGATAGTGTGGATTCATGTAGCTACTTCGATTTCAATTAATATGGTTGTTTCTGTTCTACTGCATTGTACTGAGCTGCCTTTTGTATACAGCCGCCTTTTGTTTCGATTATGGATTTTCTTTCTGTTTTGGTTGTGTTGTTGTATTTGATGTGGGGTGTAATTATCTGTGATGTTTGTTTATTTTTGATGATGCGTACTTCAGTTTTGTTCTCAGTTTATCGGTTTGGGTTCAACGTTGCAGTAATGATTCGAAACAATATTCTTATGTTGTGTTATGTTTACTGCTCTAATGATGGCTTTGATTCTGACTCTATTTCAAGCCTCATGTTGCTTTGTATTGTGTAGCTAGTATATTTTCATTTCGATTCAGTTTCATTACATTTTCGATTATGATATTGTGAATTTATGTTCGCGGATGAGATTAACTTTCGACATTCATAACGGTATTAAGTTGATTTCATTATGAACTTGAAAGTATGGTTAGTTGTTAATTGTTGTGTTGCTTTGAAAGCTTCGCTTTACATGTGTGATCTCGACTCGATTTCGAATTGATATGTCTGGTTTGGTTTGGATATTATCATGCTGATACTAATAGCACGAGCTTGGCAAGTGATGGGATAGAAGTTGCATTTGGATTTTAATTCACAGGATGCATATTGATAGCATAGAATAACAATGAGTTTGTGTTCATATTTTTATATATTACTAACAGTATAGAGTTTGGGTTATTCACTATTTTGTTTAAAGTTACTGTTACAAGTTTATATAGATATAATGATGGCCTCGTTTTGGGTTTATGTATATAAAGTCATACTGTAAGTTCTTCTTAATGTTTACTTATTTTGGGTTTTTGTTTAGTAAATCAAATTATCTGTTGTTGGGATAAGAGTTTTACTTTTATGTTTGTGTAAAGCCACATTCTTATTACTTGTGTATTAATACACCATTTTATACATGTATTAATAATAATCCAAATAAGCAAAACTCTTATCCCAACATCAAGTAACATTTTCAACTTCAATTAAATCGATTTGATTCAATTGAATTTTTTTTTCTTCTATTAAAACACAACGTTAAAACTATTTTTTAATTAAATAATGAAATGAGTGGATTCATGGAGTCTAGCACTCCTTGGATCCTTGAACGATCGCTCTCGAGACGTACGCTTTAGGTTGTTATCGTTCTGTCTTTCGTTTCTAAAATACTCTCCTTAATTATTTGGACAAAGAAGAGCCATTGGAGTCTAGCACTCCATGTGGTATCTTCATTATCCATCAAACAAAAATTCTTAATTAATCGAATGAAAAAGGTGTCGGTTGGGTCTAGCATCCCAATAATTCCCCTATTAATTGGTTGCAAGGTCGACGTCCCGTTTATCGAAAAATCGTCATTCTCCCTTAAAAATATTCAACAAATCAAACCTCACCTCCTTGCCCCCATGCAAGCAAACTTTTCGCGTACTCTAATCCGCTTCGAATACTTTCTAAAATAAACTTCGAAAGAAGAAGGTTTGTGGAGTCTAGCATTCCTTGGATCTTTGAATGAATGGCTCCCGAGGCACACCTCTTGGGTTGTTATTCTTTCAATCTTTCGTCCTTAAAAAACTAAACCGTTTTCAAACTAATTCTCGATTCGTCGTCGAGCCATTTTCAAAACACCCTTGTAAGTCAAATGCCTTTTGCCTCGCCATCATTTTAATGCACACACTCGTACCTTTTGTGGTTTCGTTACTAGGAGCACCCCTAGGGATTGGGATCAATCCACAACTTTTCGCGAACCCTAATCCAATTCAATCTTTTCCAAATGTTTTCTTAATCAACTTACGAAAGAAGAAGATTCTTGGAGTCTAGCATTCCTTGGATCTTCGAATGAATGGCTCTTGAGGCGCATGCTTTGGGTTGTCATTCATTCAATCTTTTCTCTTAAAACAATTAATCGTTAATCAAACATTTTTATAATCAAATTGCGAAAGAATTGAGTTCTTGGAATCTCACATTCTTTGGATTCTTGAGTGACTGTTGTAACGCCCATTTTAATTATCTCATTTTTCTGTGTTTATTTTATTCGCGGTGTATTTTATTTATGGCGTGCCTTCTGTGTTAAGGGTGTGGTTGAGTGCGATAGCGTGTAGCCCTTAAGTTGGAATTAATTAATAATTTTGGACTTTAAGACTAATAATAAAATTATTAGTGATAATGATAAATTAATGAGTAATAGTAATATTGTTAATATTATTATTATTGTTATTATTATTATTATTAATAATATTATTATTGAGTAATAAAAAGGAATTGGAATCAAAAGAATTGGGATGAGGGGCATTGCGGAAATATTGGAATTAGAGGAGAAAGAAGAACACGTAGGAAGAGAAGAAAAAGGGAAACACGATCAAAGAGAAGAGGAATTGAAAGGAAGAAGAACAAGGTGAATCGGAGCAAGAGGAAGCTAGGATTCATCTTGGGAGCAGGAGTTCATCAGATTGTTCAAGCTATCGAGGTAAGGGGGGATCGGTTAAAATTGGTAGAGTGCATGAATATTAGGTAGAAGGGGATTTCCCTTAACCCCATAGGTTTGATGATTATGTTTTACATGATGTTGTGATTCTGAGTTGTTGATGTTATGTTGATTCCATTGCATGTGCTGCTTGATCAATTTTGGGGGTTTCCGGGTAGTTCGAAGTTTATGCTGAAAGTGATTAAATGAGTAGAGCTGACGTTTAATCGGTTTAATCGAGGATAGATGTTGTAGTTAGGTTGTAGAATATTGGTCTGATATGATGGGGTCTGGTGTGAAGTAGAATCGGCTTAGTTCGGAGCGTTTTGCCGACTCTGAGCAGTTTTATTTTTCTAAAGTCGCAGACGTTCGCCAGCTGCTTCGCTGGGCGAGCGAGTAGCGAATCTTCGCCAGGGATTCGCTGGGCGAACAGGGTAGCGAGCGCTTCCAGTAGCCAATGTCTGGCTTCGCTATGGAGTTCGCTGGGCGAGCAAGTAGCGAGCATTCGCTGATGCTTCGCCTAGCGAGTGAGCCAGCGAGCATGACAGTGTTGTGTGTTTTTATGTTGTGTTGTTCTGTTCTCTTGTGCTGTTGGACCCTTGTTGGTCATGGTTGATTGTGATATCGGTATTGAACTATGGGGAGTGTAGGTGTGGTGTGGAATGTGATTTCCGTGATATTCGTTTAATTTGAATGATTGAATTCGGTGCATGTGATTGCGTATGAATGTGGTGATGTGTGGTGTGTGTGTATATATATATATATATATATATATATATATATATATATATATATATATATATATATATATATATATATATATATATATATATATATATATATATATATATATATATATATATATATATATATATATATATATATATATATATATATATATATATATATATATATATATATATATATATATATATATATATATATATATGTGATCAGTGGAAATTGTGTACACTTAGTGTATCTGATGTTGTGTGTTGTGCATTGGGGTTATGCATAACATGGTGTGATAATGTGCTCCTGTGTGGAGGGTGATGGCCTAGTGCCCATCGGTAGTGGTAATGTGCTCCTGTATGGAGGGTGATGGCCTGGTGCCCATCGATGATTCTGAGGGATAAATCATGTCTCAGGGGAGCGTAAGTGATCTATCTTGTTTATGTTGTGTTCCTTCGGGAAAGGGTAATGGCCAGGTGCCCATCGGTGATGATGATGTGTTCCTTCGGGAAAGGTTGATGGACAGGTGCCCATCGGTGTTGTTGAGTCGGTACCGCATATCATGGGTAGAGTTGCATGTGTTGCATTGTTTTATATGCTATGAATGGTGTGGGACAGTAGGTCCGGGTCGATGTATGTGAATGACAATTGTATGATTTACTGCCTTTTATTCATGTACGTTTATACTGTTATATTTTGATCGTGATTTCTCACCCCTTGCTTTTGTTGTGGTCTGTGCATCTTCGGAAGTACAAATAATTCAGGTGTGTAGCTAGCTTGGATTATGGCGCGTCGTGTCGTAGGGATGCTCTGATACGTAACACCAGGGCTTTTGGGAGTTTATTGTCTATCTGATGATTTTGTGTGCCCCTGTGGCGTATCATGTTTTGATGAGTTCCTTTAGTGAATATATGTCTGGTGTATTTTGGGCAGTTGGTCGAGTATGATGTATATGACATGTATATGATGGTTATATGTATATATATATATATATATATATATATATATATATATATATATATATATATATATATATATATATATATATATATATATATATATATATATATATATATATATATATATATATATATATATATATATATATATATATATATATATATATATATGATGACGAATTTTCCGCTGTTTACTATTGTTGATATCATTTAATGAAGATGTTTTGTTTG